CTCACTTCCCTCCGTGTGCCGTTCGCCTACCCGCACGAGAGGAGAGAGAGAGAGAGAGAGTTTCCTTTTCTTGGTAAATTCATACAAATGATCTTTTTTTGGTTGAATTAGGTGTGGTCACTTGTGAGGAGATTTGATCAACCCCAGAAGTATAAACCCTTTATTAGCAGATGTGTGTTGGTGCGTGGGGACTTGGAGATCGGGAGTGTGAGAGAGGTTAATGTTAGATCAGGCCTTCCTGCTACTACCAGCACCGAGAGACTCGAGCTTCTTGATGATAATGAACATATTCTCAGTGTCAAGATTGTTGGTGGGGATCATAGATTAAAGGTTTGAACATTTCCTTGCTCTTTCTTCTACCTTTTTAATTTGGTTGGTTAGAACGAAGAACTAATTCTTACTAAGAGAAAGAAAGAAGTAATTCTTACTAAGAGAAAGAAAGAAGTAATTCTTTCAGTACGAAGAAAGAAAGAAGTAATTCTTTCAGTACGAAGAGAGATTACTTGCATTATGTCAAAATTATGTTAGGTCACTTGTTTAAAAGTATCGTATTTGGCATAATTATTTCGGTCCTACTGTATGGGCCAAACTATCAATAAGTAGGATGATCTTTTCACAGTCATACGAGGTATTCCTTGAAATGTTGTACCACTTTCTGTTTCAATTTTTTTGCAAGATATACTAAATGTTTTAGATCACACGAAATACCCTGATTCTATAGATGATCACTTTGTTAAGACCATTGCAAAAGCTCTCTCCACTTGACCCTATTCTTGATGATATTTCCTAAACAAACAAAACACATGAAACTCCAAAGAAGAAAATTAAGGTACTGGCCTTGCACTGATGCACTTCTCTGTTATTAGCATATTTCTTAAGGTTCTGTAGTGTTATTCTCTACGTCGCTTAGAAAAATCTTTTCTATAAGAAGATAGGTCAATTGGACTGTTGCACATCATCAATACTAGTTTGTATATAGCTTGGGACTCCTCTATATCATATGCATATAGATAATAAAGAGCCCAATAATAATCTTTCTGCCATTGCAAAGAGTTCTTCTGACTTCTGGGGGCTTTATTTTGTCTTCTTCATGATCTTCCTAATTTTTCTTTGCAAGCATGAAATGTTTTTAGTGGTGATAGGATGGAGCCTTTTGCACGTACAAAGCTCTCTTACAATGTCCCCATTGTTCATTGAGAAGTAATGCCATGTACGAGCATGGCTTTCAGAAAGGGAAGACTGCAATTGTTCAACAAAACGAAGGAGCCTCACATTTTATTTTTGTGTTTGATACTTATCTTCATGGTTGCCTAATTTGCATAATCCCCCAGAAATTTCTCTTGGTTCGCTGGTTTTACCAGACACATAATTTGACCTAATTGCGAAGTTACTATGGTTTGAGTTTGTGACACGTATGCTCTAACTGTGTGATTTAATATATTTCCTTTTAAATGCATGAAGAAATGTGTATACTTTAATTTCAGAAATATGTATGTTGTGTGTTAACAAATCACCAGCACGATTGATATTATATGTTCATAAGCTGATTTTTATTGACTATCTACTTGCATGAATACTATCTATAAAAGGGAATCATTATCTTGTTCATTGTTCGTCTTCAAAAAAAGGGAATATGATCTATATGGCCTTGGTAACTACCATCACAATGTGGTTTATTGCTTTCCAAGCAATTGGTTGGACAGTGATGGGGAGATAGTAGTAAGTACAATTCGTCTTCAATTGAAAAGGTTAGCTGATAATAACGAGTTCCTATCAAAACATTTGATAGGAATTTTAAGAGTGTTCACATTGACTTTCATCATGTTTTGAGTATGTGAAACACAACTGGAATGCAATATTCTCTTACTAAAATTTTGAGATTTTTTTGAATTTTTCATTGTTTCAAAAATGGCCTGCGTGGTGCTTAGGAGCCCATACGGCTAGGCAGGCCTGGACAGGCATATATGGGCACCAGTTCCTGGGGGTTTACTCAATTGGGTGCCTATTGTGAATTCCTGGGTGGGCACCCAGGAACTGGACCCTATTTTGGAGGATTAAGATTGTCATGAAGGCATTTTGGGTCTTTTTGCCCCATCAAATAGGGGTATTCTAGCTCCCCGTTCAATAGTAACTGAAAGCACCAAAAAATTATTGTTTTTGCTAATTTTTTGAATTGAGAAAAGTTTAATGTTTGAATAATCATCCAAAAGATTACCCAATCTTATTGGAATTTTGTTTAGGGTGCTACTGAGGTTATTGAAAGACTTTTTGGTGAAAAACATGAACAATTATCTTCTTTTTCCTTTTTTTTTTATTTTGTATTTCATTTTATCTTTTATATTGCATCATTCTGTATTGGTCTTAGCGGAGACTGGACACTCTGTATGGTAATTGTATGTTACTATTGAGTATGGAGAGTTGGAAACTAATACAATATGGACTTGTTTATGTTTTTCACTAAATTTTCAATGATTTGAAGTTTTGAACGTGTTTTTAACATTCATGCGTATGTGTTTGCATAAAAACGTCTATGCAAAAATGCGAAATTGAAACAAATATTTGCACATATTTGCATATTTATGAAAATCTGTCACCTCAGGGTGCTTGAGGCGCTGGGCGACCTAGGACTGGCCGACCGCCCAGGGGCCGCCTAGCATTTTCTGAAACCTTGGGATTTTGTCATGCTCTTGTGATTCCTGGTAGATAATTTCAGTCTTCAGAAGAGTCAGAACACTCAGTGAACCAAATAAAAACTTGCCAAAATTAAACTTAAATTAATGCCAACCGAGTCTATCTTTACTCTACTCTCGACCCAAAATATTAGGGATTCTGTTGTCGATTTCCTGTATAACTTATGGTCTAGTCTTCAGCCAAAACTACCTAAAGTTTGTATGTCCCTTTAGGATATGAAGGCAATGTTTGAAATGGCAGATTGGATTGGCTTGTTGGACCAACTTTGACTGAAAACAACAGTAATCAGGTTTGTGATCATCTATTTTTGATCTGGAAGAGCCATAAACCTGTTCAAATGATGAATCGAGGAACTGAACGTGGAAAACAGGCTCAGGTAGTTTAAACTGAGTCGAGTTCCCCATTACGCAAGTCATAGTAACTGAAAATAGATTGCGACCTCCCTTGAGTATTTGACCTTATATCGTGGCTAGCTGGGATTTTGGCAATTTGGACTGAAATACTGAAAACGGATTGTGACCTCCCTTGAGCAGTCGACCTTATATTGTGACTAGCTGGGTTTGGCAATTTGGACTGAAATTCTAGAAAATTTGGGCCCTAGTTGTTCTTGTTTTTATAAAAAATTGTTCATAAGAATTTCAGTAATACAATGTTAACATAATCTCAAAAAAAAAAAAAAACCATTCATATGAATGGACAATCTTTATATTTTTTTTGTCTAAATCCTCATGGCTGCCTCATGTTAGTTTTTCACTCTTGATTTCTATTCTTAGTTTTCCAATCTCTCTCAATGTTTTTCTTGTACTTTTTCTTTTCATTTTGAGTTATTATTTTGTTTCCAGTGGTGTTTGTGTGTTCTTGTGTAATGCACGTTATCTTACTCTGTCTGTTTCTTAATGAAAGGAAACATTAACTTGAGGCACTTGAGGATGTAAGCACGGGTAAAGGAGAACAAGGTAGCCAACCATCCTCTCCCATACCATATTATTACTTGTTTCTTGAGAAGAGTGTGTGGGGACGTGAATCTCGACCATCATTTACCTAATAAGGCAGAATTCATCAGGGTTATGTTCTTAATGCCTAGGCCACCACACTTTTTGGGGTTACAAATCTCAAATTTATATACTGATCTTTCAGAAGTTGTGGATCCAATGAAGAACTAAAATAAAATTTCAGAACCGAGGTCACCCACTGGCTGATCTCTTGGTTTTTGGGATTAGTTGACAAAAACCAAATGCTAGAATTTATTACTGGAAGCAAAATATCAGCACTCTTCTGGAAGAAGCAAACTCAGAAATAGTTAGTCTCAAGCGAAATTTTAGATAGCACAGTTAAGGTTTTAGGGGAAAATTGTGTCCTTATATTGATTTACTAACACATGGTATTGAGATGTCCAGTGACCATTTCAATATGGCACTACATTATAAAATCAAATCTCCATGTTTCCAAAAGGCCATGGTTTGTGGATGGTTAGCGTTGAGAAAATTGAACTTTTTGAGTGAACTCTGGGCAGCATGTCTGTTGTGTCCTACCTCAAAATCCCTCACGTTCAGCTCAATTATGATTAGTTATTGTATGAGATAAGATTCTCTAGGTCTTTTCCTTGAGAAAAGCTATAGGACTTTCAATGAAGATTCCCAAGGTTAGGTCATACTGAGGGTTAACCCCAACCTCTTTCGTCTTTATCGCATATATACAGAGAGACAGAGAGAGAGAGATCTTCAAGGCGAGAGTTTGAAAATAATGATCAAGTGGGCACCCACGTGGGACGAAGTATCTGACAACAATGCTTTGGGGCCATGTGGCCCTCTAGAACCCCCATCCAAACAAAAAATAGGATAGACTCTGGATTATTCTCTGCCTCTGCCCTTATGTAACGCATGTATGTGCATGTTGGACGCGTGCATAGCCTGTAATATGTGGTCCACTTTTGACGGTTGGCTATTTATGGATACACAATGTGGTAATTCCCACTGTTGATAGGGTTAATACTGATTGTGGAGACACCATGGCCTGTAAATACAAGGCCTACTTTTGTCGGTGGGCTATTTATGGATATGACGTATTAATTCCAGGTGCTGATAGGCTTACTTTTGATTATGGAAACACCTTTGACGGAACACCCTTGACACCACTTGAAATTTACTTTTGAATTATCCAAATTCTGAGAATGAGCTTTGTATAGCAACTGTAGTTGTGAAACCCATTTCATCAGAAGCAATTTTTTAACAAAATGTTTTCTATGAAATATTTCATATGTTTTGCAGTTCCCTTATGTTTCTCGTGCTCCCAATTATTTCTACAAAGCTTGTGCATGATTATTTGAGTATTCATCCACTATTTGGAGTAAGAATTTTTTTAATTTTCCCATTTATCGCATCATTTCATTTCCCTGTTTTGGTTGCATTTTGTCATTGGACGACTTATTACCGCATTGTCATATCACTATTCTGTTTTTTCTGTTGGCAGAGAGGGAAGAAATATGTTGACAGTTGAAGCTTTCTTGATTAACTCTTAACCTTGTTCTGATATGTGACCAGATGACACTAAAATTAATAAAATCTGCAATCACCTTTCGTTCAGGAACTGATTAAAAATGGTGTGAACCAGTTGAACCATATCAGATACTTTGTAGGCTAGGCTAATATAGAGAATAGTTCTCAATCCAATTATATATGTGAATCTCCTTATCAAGGGGGAACTACCAAGAGGCCACTGGTTTTGACAAAATTAAGACTACTGTGTATAACACATCCTAAAATCAAGTATGAATGTCATTCTGAAAATGGTACTCCTCCTATGTAATGGAGAATAGCTACCCATAGGAGGGAGGGAGGGAGGGAGGGAGGGAGAGTGTGTGTGTGTGTTGAAATCACTTGAAAACATTACTCACTCTATTTACGGTTATCTTATTGAGTCTAGGAATATGAAGAAAATTAATCATGGTCCTGTGTATACTTGGATTGATTTCCTAACTTTGTTTGTGTCTTTCTTTTTGCAGAACTACTCGTCGCTGATTACACTTCACCCAGAGATCATCGAGGGACGACCTGGTACAATGGTTATAGAGTCTTTTGTTGTGGATGTGCCCGACGGCAACACCACGGATGAGACCCGCTATTTTGTGGAGGCCCTCATAAAATGCAATCTCAAGTCGTTGGCTGATGTCTCTGAGCGCCTAGCCATTCAGGATCGCACTGAACCCATTGACAGGAGTTAGAGTCATGATGGGCTCATCGCCACCCTCTATGGCCCATGTGACCATCTCTCTCTCTCTCTCTAGATCTCTGTCTTTACCCCCTTGCCTGAGAAGTTGGTTATTTGTTTGACTGTATACTTATTGTACAGCTTCTCAGGGCCTTTGTTTTCTATAGGAAAGCCAACGTTCTTGATGGAGTTTGCTGTTTTTATTTCTACTCTCTTGTTAAAATCCCAATAGAGAGCACAAGTACCAAACTGGGCCCTCTTGCCTCTGATCTTTCTTGGGGAGTTTCGTGTTGGTTTTTGGCAGTCGGAATTCACTGAGGATGATGATGCTGCTGCTGCCGCCGCTGCCGCTGCAATGCTATCCACCACAGATTGGGTGTAAATATAGATGACCACTCATCCTTTTTAAGTGTTTCCATTTCTTTTCTTGTGGTTGTTCTCTCTCTCTCTTCTTTTCTCTTTTGTTTGAATTTTACTTTTTAGTGTACTCTGCCTTTATTACCGTTATTTATGTGATTCTGTGATAGATTTTGTCTTTAATCCTTTTAAGGGTCCCATAAATGGTTGTGTTTTAATTATGCTCTGGGTGTTTATTACTACTGCAGGTTCCGAAATAGAGAGACAAGGGCAAGGTATTATTTTGATTTTACGTCGGATTATGGGTGCCTTTTTTTTTCTATAAATAAATTAGCATTAATGAGATCCGTAGGTGCATTTACTCGATTGTTCCCGTTAGTACTTTGATTGGTTGTTAGCGGTAGAGGTCTGTTTCTCTGTGGGCCCACCCAATTAGGGTTTAGCGAATGAGAGGCTCAGTTCACTTGTTAGTAAGGGACCTCAGCTGCTTTTATTTGCAAGAAGCCATTTTAAGGGTATCATCGTGGTGTTTTATACATGCCTTGTCGATAACAGGAATGCGAGCTATTTATTTGCCACTCTTTTCTCTCCGAGCTTACAAGCTTTTCGGGTTATGAGCGCCTTCTAAAAGAGTTTAAACATGTAAAAATTGTGCGTACTTTCTTTACTTTGTAAAAATAGTTGAATATTGAGAGTTTGAGTTTTTTTTTTGTTTGTTTTTATGTTTGGATGGTTGTTGTATTAATCATTTATACATGTCATTGAAAAAAAGAGTATAATAATCAATGATAGGTATAAAAAGTTTAAATCAAGCATACAACAAAAAAGCAAACCAATAATAAAACAAAAGATGGCTTCATTCTTGCTCCTTATCAGGCTGTTGCATCTCATTGTATTATCTCGGCAAGTCATTGAGTTGGTTTATGAACACGTCAGAATCATTGGTATCAACTTGACTCTATTCATTTCCCTTATAGTTTGTGTTTAGGATTGTTGTGCTCGTTGTCCGTAGTCCTCAAGGTTTTGCTTGCCCTCGTGATGGCCCTTACTCTCTTGCCCTATATTTTTGACCGCCCTACCTTTTTGCTGTTGTATCTCGGGTTGCTTATATCTTGGTTGGGATAGAGTTGTCTCGGAATCATTATCTCTTCGTTTCCTCCTCTACCCCATTGCTCCTCTTCAACACGTCCAGCATCGTCTACATCTCCAACAAATTGCTCAAATATCGGTGGGGGGAATGTGTTGCTACTCCCTCTTTCCTCCTTGCTTATCAGTATTTTCTCTTTTACACTCCTCATTGATTGCCTCGAGGAATGCTCTCTTGCCCAACACTCGAGGCTCTTTTTCCACGAACTACACATTGGCTGTATCAAAGAGAAATATCGCATTCACGTCATTTGGGATGTAATCTTGAAGCGCCCGTGTCAGATTTCACTAATGGAGCTTTGAATTGTATTAAACAAAGACGAGCTTATGAAGACGGTCGGAAGTCAATCGATTTCTTCTTGGATTGTGGATCCATTGGAAGGTACTTTAGGACCACTCACATTTAGTAGCTGAAAATGTTTGGGAGAGTATCTTGATTGCTATCTTCTTTACGTGATTTGCGCCTCCACCATAACACTCCTACCATTCAGTTGAAATGAGATGTAAAGTGTGTTGTAAGAAAGAGGTGAAATATTTCATAAAGAAAATGGTGTAAAAGGAAACGTAACTACATACTAGATTACCTGGATTGATCGTACTTGGAGAAGTTATTACAAGACTTCTCGCAAATGAGCCTTCCACCTCCCTATACATAAACATATCGGAAAGACATCATGCTTTAGAGCTTTAATTATGTGTTAGATGAATGTTATCTCACTCAGTGACGCTAATTGGGATCTACGGTTCCTCTCCAACCTTTCGATAATATATTGCACCCCCTTGATGATATAGTGAGAACAAATAGTCTCGGCGTAAAAACAACTGGGGTTGAAGTATAAACCTATATAATACAAAGATAGAGAAATAATTTAGATTGACATCAAAGAAATATTGTAATCTAAATTTTCTAGACACATAATAAACATTTCACCTGCATAGTAGATCGAGCGGCTCAGTTGAGTTGTCCACCTTCTTTCTATGATTTCTACCACGTTTTTGGCAAAAGGGCATTTCGCCTTAATAGATCTCTTTGCCCTCTCTATCCCTTCATAGAGGATCCTCGTGGTAGATTTCTTGTTATCATCCACCGTTCTCAATAGTGCTATCAAAGGACCAGTTGCGGAATCAATGTTGGTGCACCATGTCTAGAACATCTTATCAGATATTATACCATCAACAATTCGTCCCTCACAGGACTTTGCAAGTTTGTCCTTGGTCCACGCCTCACTGGTGAACATCCTCCTCAATTCGGCATCGGATTGTACAATACTGTTCATGGCTAGGTAGTCCGTCGCGAAGCGGGTGATAGCGTGCCTGATTAACTCCCTGCCGGTGTACTCTCTCATCAAATTAAGGATCTTGGAGTGGTTGTAGATAAATTTCGTGATGGATTTTATCGAGGCGAGAGTCTCCTTCACATTCTTGAGCTCACCAATCTCATCCAACACGAGATTGATACAATGGGCAGTACAAGGGGTCCGTATCAAATGGTTTCTTCTTTTCATTAATTTCGACCCCATTGCAACATAAGCTTTGACGTTATTTGTAATAATCTAGACCACATTCTTCTCTCCCACCTCGTCGACTATCTGCTCCAATAGTTGTGCTAGAAACTTCGCTTCCTTCGTCACCCCAGTAGCATCTCTATTGGACAAAAAGGTCGTACCACATGGGCAATAAGTTAGAAAGTTCAGCTAGTCTTTTTGGCTGGTTCTGTCCCACCAACTGTCACTCATGATGGTGATGCTTATTCTCCGCCAACTTTGCGACCGACAATCCATTTGTTAGTATCTTCCATCTCTGCATTCAAGATTGCCCTACTAAGCTCATATGTTGTGGGAGGCTTCACCCCATGCCCTGCACTTTGAATTTGGGAAAAATGGGCTATTAGTTGCATTGAAGGGGATTGCATTAGCATACCCATTTCCCTATGCCCCCCATTTATCACGTGCACCTTTTACCAAGCATTTTAGGATCATTTGTTGAATTTTATGTGTCGAGGTGATTGGATCAACCTTGTCCCTCGTTTGTCTCACCGATTTACAGCATGCTTTTCTCATGCTAGACAAGCCATGAGTAATCTCTTGTACATTGTGGGATGAGGTTACCTTAGACGACCCCTCAGCTCATGAAGTGGCACCGGCTGCCCCTCTGCTAGGCCTTCCATAAATGCTCAGGTTGGGCCCACCATACATGCTCGGGCCAAACCCTTTATACATGCTCGGTCTGGGCCCTCCATACATCGTATGGCCAGGCCTTCCATGCATGCTCTGGTCAGGCCCTCCATACATTCTCGTACGAAGTCCTCCATACGTAGCCATCTTGCGCTCCAGCCGGTGCACTTCTTCCAAATTGGCTCTCATTGTAGTCTCCGTGTCTTCGTCGAATTGCCGATTTGGATCTGCCCCACTTGATGGCACATAATGGCTGGCAATCTCCTCATTCATCTTCTCTCTGGCCATCTTCTTACCCTTATAAGCTTTGAGGAGATCCGACATCTGTCTCTTGATGTTGGTAGGTACATGGTTGAACGCATAGACCTCCCCTTGACCCCTGCCAAATGCTGAACCAATTCATGCCACTACTTATAACATATTTGCAATAATGATATATTATTTTGTCTTTTTTGTTTGGATCAACTCTGATCCCATGCTGCCATGCAGGTTATTCCTTAGATTTGGACATGATAATTGTTTAGTATGCAAATGGTCAGAAAATCGTATTCAATGTTGAATTGAAACGTGAAAACTATTTACTTTTTTTTTTTTTGAATTCTCATGAAAATATCATGGTATTCCTGTGACCCACTAATGTCACTTGAGTCAAATGACATTTGTGTTTTGGGAATCAAACCCAGAATATATTTTTTCATTTAAAAGTTATGTTCTCATTACAATAATTGATCTATGTTAGAGTCCCATCTCAAGTTTTAGATGACTCTTTCAACACCAATTCTTGCTCCAAGGAGTAAAAGATAAATCATGTATTCTTTAAATTGAGTGTCATACATCAATATAATTTCAAATTTGGATTCCAAGTTAGTTGTTATAAAAATTTAATTAAGCAGTGAAGTGAGCATGGAACATCACATTCTTACGAATATCTCAGTCAAGAATAATTTAATTATGCATCATGGACATACATTTTATTGCATTAAAAAAACTGCAATAAGATTAAAAAATGCAACTTTTTATTGCATGATAATTATACATTCATGACATAGAATTGAATAATTGATTATAATTATAAAAAAATAGAAAATTTTTTATTCTTATACTGAGATAACCAATTACATACATACATTTGATATATTAAGGAAATTTTAATTATGTATCGAGATTCAATAATATACATTTTAGTGCATTAAAAAAATTGAAGATAAAATTTAAAATACAAGTTTTTATTGCATGATAATTATACTTTCATGGCATAGAATTGAATCATTGATTATAATTACAAGAAAATAGAAAAAAATATATTCTTATACTGAGAGAAATAGTAACATACATACATTTGATGTATCAAGGAAATTTTAATTATGTATCTAGATTCAAGAACATATATTTTAGTGCAATAAAAAGTTGACGATAGAATTAAAAAATACAAGTTTTTTCCCGTTTATTCATAAATTCATGACATAGAATTACAAGAATATATATAAAAAAAGTATTATTATATTGTGTGTATCAAGAGCAAATATTTGTTAAATTTCCTAATTTAAATAAGCAAATTAATTTACAAGTAATTACTAAAAAGCCCTAAATTGAATTTCATACCACAAAGCATTTCAAACAAAAATTCATATATATATAAAAAAAGAAAAATCATAATACTGCTTGATCTGAGAATAGAGAATATCAGGATCATTGTTCTTAAAAAAAAAAAATGGTATCAGACCTTCGATTTCTTGAGAAATTGATCAACTATTGTTGCTTAATCACACAAGAAGGCTGCAACAGTTTATCAAGTTCACAATTTCGAACAAAGCCCTTCTGATTTCAAAAAAATATTTTGCCCATATCGACTTAAATCCCAAGATTGGCAGACTTTTTTC